CTAACAACTGCGACCACAACCGATAACATCGAAGAAATTCATCAAATGATAATGGACAGCCGTCGAATTAAGATTAGAGAGATAGCAGAGGCTGTTGGCATATCAAAAGAATGTGTTTGTCATATATTGACTGAAGAATTAGGCATGCGTAAGTTAATCGCGCGTTGGGTGCCGCGCTTGCTCACTCTGGATCAAAAACGCATTCGAATGAACATTTTTAAGGCCCTGTTGGAGCGGTTTAAGCGAAACGAGTCGGATTTTTTGCGTCGATTAATAACGGTCGATGAAACTTGGGTCCACCACTTCACTCCTGAAACGAAAGAACAATCAAAACAGTGGACTGCGAAGGGTGAAACTGCTCCGAAGAAAGCGAAGACGATTTTATCGGCGGGAAAGGTGATGGCGACTGTTTTTTGGGACAGTCATGGAATTGTGTTGATCGATCATCTTGAAAAAGGTAAAACAATAACAGGAACGTATTACGCGTAATTGCTTGATAAGCTGAAGGCAGAAATTGAGAAAAAACGACCGCATTTGAAAAAGAAGAAAGTGCTGTTCCATCAAGATAACGCATCGTCTCACATTTCGGCGATCGCTACGGCAAAAATTCACGAATTGCGGTTTGAATTAATTGACCATCCACCGTATTCACCAGATCTGGCCCCCAGCGACTTTTTTCTGTTTCCTAGGCTCAAAGTTTGGCTCGGACAGAAATTTTCATCGAACGAGGAGGTCATCGCATTCGTGAACGCTTATTTTGCAAAGCAAGTCGCTCAGTATTATTTGAATGGATTAAAGGGGTGGGAGTATTGCTGGAAAAAATATATCGACTTAAAAGGAGACTACGTGGAAAAATAAAATTGAATTTGACCGAAAAATTACTTGTTTCTATGTTAGGCTCAAAACTTTTCAGGCGACCCTCGTATATATTTTGTTGGATCATCAGAAGTCGATTGTGATTGATCGATTTCGTTTTCAGAAGTCGAGAAATCAACATCAAGCTTCTCCTTTTTATATTGAAAAATTTGGCATTTTGAACATTAAATATCATTAATAATAATCGTTCATCGAAGTTTTGAAGAAAAACTCGTTGCTTCATCTTCAATTTCAATTTTTTTCTTTTGGCCACGTACTTTAGATAAAACCTTATCACAACCAGGACATTTACGATTTTTCAATAGTTTTGACATCTTTACTATGACAAATATAACGAATCAAGTATGACAAAAATAAACGAAAGCAAGTATTTTTAGCTACAAAGAATGTGTTTGGAACAAAAACACATACATAGTAACGTGGTATATAAAATATCTTGTGGGGATTGCAATGCTACGTACGTTGGCCAAACGGGTAGAACTTTAAAAACTAGAATTTCTGAACATAGGAATCATATAAATTGGAACACACAACAAAAATCTGTAATCAGAACATTGATTAAACTATTCGCGTGAATTTAAATGGGACGATATAGAAATCCTTGATGAAGAGACAATCTTAAACAAAAGACTCATATCTGAAATGATATATACGTATATATACGTATATATACGTAGACAAGAAAGTAGCTTGAATTTACAAACTGACACGGAGAATTTTAATTCAGCATATGAGTGTTTGTTAGCTAATGTTTAAGTTTCAATCTTTTCGTTATTTACAATTGACGGTCATGCGAATTATATGTATGCTGAAGATAAAATAATAGGCAAGTTGCAAACGAGGACATTTGCTTGTTGACGATCGACATGACGAGTAACGTGATTTTCGCACATACTGACTATCATGTAAGTTTAATCTCAATTTTTAATTTATATCTGTATTTATAATTAAGCTAGTACTGGTAAGAAACATACGATAATGTAGTGTTCTAGGAAGTACATTGATGTAAACTTAGTAACTAAGAGATATTGATAAGGATTCGATATAGGGATCGAAACACTAAGTATGATTGTGTATCAAATTCTTTATTATATTCTAATATAATAAAGAATTTGATACACAATCATACTTAGTGTTTCGACTCGATTTGACTTGAAGCACATATTGATTTATTCATTCGAGTCAATAATTAAAGAATTTCATATTGATTTGATATCAACCATTGGCGCCAAGTTAAATCCCATTTTTAAGTAATATATTTATCGATGTGGTCTCTTTATTCCAAGTTATAATAGTTTTATTTCCCTTTAAAAGTTATTACATAAAAATCATTATATTATAAATTTAGCTAAACTTAATGATACGTATCATTTGTATTAGGTGTTAAACTTAATTCCTGCCGTTTTTTGTCTCCAAAATTGATTTGTTTCGAAGGGAAGATGAATGAAAAAAAAAACCTTAATCAAAGTAATTTCCTCCATTTTCTATTTTATTACTAATTAATAATACTTTATTAATAATACTTTGATTAAGATATTTCCCTTCGAAACAAATCAATTTTGGAGAAACGGTAGGAATTAAGTTTAACACCTAATATAAAAGACGAGTATGATTCATATAAAAGATTTGATATCAACAATTGGCGCCAAGTTAAATTTTGTTAATTCATTGTTAGTTTTTTATATACAGCAAAGAACATGTAAAAGTATGCAGATAACTATTATCTTGATATTTATTTTGATTTTTATATCATTATTATAAGACGAGGGGGGTAGTGGTAGAATTTTTTAATTTTGTTAATATTTTGATATTTTTATTATAAATACTTTTTTTTTATATCCATAAATACTCTAGTTAATCTTGTTTCTTTATACCATGCCAAATTAAATAAATAACGAATATATTAAGCTAATGATATGTATCATTTGTACAAAAGATTTGATATCAACAACTGTAACGTAAAACCCAAGTGATACTATCTTTATTATTTACTTAATCGTAAATAATAAAGTAAATAATAAATCCAAATAATATATAAAGATAGTATCAATTGAGTTTTACTTTTTATTTTGATACTAGAATTTAACTTAGCGCTACAGTTGTTGATATCAAATCTTTTATACAAATGATACATATCATTAGATTATTATTCATTATTTATTTAATTTGGCATGGTATAAAAAACGAGATTAACTAGAGTATTTATGGATATAAAGAAAGTATGCTCTTTATTAATTTGCTTTTATAAAGAAAGTATTTACAGTATTTATAGTAAAAATATCAAAATATTAACTAAATTAACAAATCCCACCATCACCGTCTTATAATAGTAATATAAAAATCAAAATAAATATCGAATGGTTATCTACATACTTTTGCACGTTTTTTGCTGTATACATATAAGAAATTAACAATGTGTTAACAAAATTTAACTTGGCGCCAATTGTTGATATCAAATCTTTTACAGTGAGAAAAAAATTTGTCGAAATGAGAAAATGCATTTTCTTGAAACGAATTTCTTCGATACAAGCAAATATTTATTTTACAGTAATAAATTATGTATTCTCATAAATAAATATTTTGTTATTTTGTGTAAATCATTTTGTATGTTTTGATTTCGTTACTATAAATAATGATTTCATGACATAAATAATACAATTATAGAAATAAAATAAATGGTTTATTTACAGTAAGAAGCCTGAGTTTCTTGAATCTGAAAATTGCGTTTAAATCAATATTTTATTGAACGAAAGAAATCATTCTTTTGTAATAAGAAATCTGACATTCTTGAATAAATAAAAATACTTTCAAATAAATATATATACCTATTATTAAACGGAAGAAATCATTACATAGCAATAAGAAACCTGATGTTCTTGAAGAAAAATACTTTTAAATAAATATTTTGTTGCACGAAGAAAATAATTTATTTGCGATAAGGAATATAATTTTCTTAAGTAAAGAAATACAACAAGTCGTTTGTAGTTGCATCATTTAAAAGTTACAATATTTTAATTTTTAAGATATCTGAAATCCGCTGGCGGGGATCGATTCAGAATCGTTTGTAGTTGTTTGTAGTGATTTTGCTTTCGTTTGTAGTTGCATCGTTTAAAAGTTACAACAAATTTTCAATACACAAATTACGTAATTTCGCCAATTTTTGAGATATCTCAAATCCGCTCACGGCATCTTACTTAGAATCGTTTGTAGTTGTTTGTAATATTATTTCGTTGCATGAAAAAAATAACTTATTTGCAATAAGGAATCTAATGCTCTTGAATAAATAAATATATTTATCGAAATATTTAGTTGAATCTAATAAATCATATTGTTGAATAAAAATACTTTCAAATGAATATTTAATTGCATAAAATAAATAACTTATTTGCAATAAGGAACCTAAGGCCGGTATTCATAGTCGATTCTTATTTCAAGATTGTCTTAAATAATGTCTTAAGACGTTAATGTAGCCTTCTGATTGGTTCGTGACTTCTTAAGATCGTACTTAAGGCGGTCTAGAATATAAGATCTGATTATGAATAGCGGTCTAATTGTTGGATATTACCATCCGACCATGGGGTGTACCTTTGACTATAAACACATAGACTGCTAGTAGCCAACTTCAGACGTGTCGCCTAGTTGGAAGATTAGGCTCCGTGCAGTAATTTTCTGCAGAAGTGGGGAGCTTTAACTATAGTATATGTACGCTTACGGTGTGCAACGGTCTCAGTAATGGTCTCTGCTCCTCGAGAAGACTAAGGATTATAGAAAATTCAAAGGATTATAGAATCCATTAATTTGCATGGTATTGTGACTCTGTACTTAAGTCGGAAAACCAAATAAGGGGAAAATAGAAGAAGAATGGTCAGTAACAGTGCGTGTATAATATAAGCATGGCAACTTTCGCATTTAAACATTAAGTATAAGCATATTCAGGCCTATGACGGTCAAAGCTAGATCTTTTTTGCCTAAATAATTCAGTTGTCCGGAAAAATTTCGACAGGCAGTTTGAATAACTACAAAAATATGATATATATGCATGTACATATATCGTATAGGATATAGATAATTCAACAGTGAATTATCTATATCCTATATATGTACATGCATATATTTCATATTTTTGTATTATTCAATACGCGTCGAAATTTTTCCGAACTTTATGGCTTTGTGAACTTGGTACCCGACTTGCACAAATATATATATATATTTTTTTCTGAAAGATCTTCGTATGTAGTTGAATGTAGTAACATTTATTTCGTTTGTAGTAGCGCAGAAACAAAAATATAACAACTTAAAAATTGTCATCCCTCGACTTTGAAATTCAGAAATTTTAAGTATTGTTTCTTATAGAAAATCGTTTGTAGTGAATTGTAGTACAATTATTTCCGTTTGTAGTTGCACCGTTCGCGAGATATAGTTATTTAAACAACTGTATAAAAATAAAACTTTTTAATTTTTAAGATATTTGAAATCCGCTTGCAGGGCTTGATTCAGAATTGTTCGTAGTTGTTTGTAGTGATTTTGCTTTCGTTTGTAGTTACACCGTTCGCGAAATATAGTTATTTAAACAATAGCATTACCGGTGAATATTGTAAAATTACTAGATATCTGAAATCCGCTAGTGGGGCTCGATTCAGAATCGTTTGTAGTTGTTTGTAGTGATTTTCCAGTCGTTAGTTGCATCGTTTAAAAGTTACAACAAATTTTCAATAAACAAATTACGTAATTTCGCCAATTTTTGAGATATCTCAAATCCGCTCACGGCATCTTACTTAGAATCGTTTGTAGTTGTTTGTAATAATTTTGCTTTCGTTTGTAGTTGCACCATTTAAAAGTTACAACAAATTTACAATAAACAAATTACGTAATTTCGCCAATTTTTGAGATATCTCAAATCCGCTCACGGAAATACCAGATAAACTGGTAAACATACATATAAATTCGTTTCTGCAATTATTTATATTGACGAACATTATATCGCAATAATAAAACGAGTGACTGGCAAGTGGGAGAACCATAATGATCTGCAACAACGAATCACGACAGTCACTGCGAGAACGCTCTTACAGAAACATTATATCCGCGTATTATTTTATATTAGAATTTCTAAAACCGAATAGACATAACAGATTCTTACTTTATACAGTATCGTAATAAAAAAAATTTTTTAATATATATTTTGCTATTACTAAAGAAATTAAAAAGTAAAAAAATTATTTTTAATTAAAAAAAGGATAAAAAATATTAAAAAAATAAAAAAAATAAAAAAACTAAAATGACAAAAAATTAAAAAAATTTTTAAATATAAAAAAACAATGAAACCGGTTTCCGTCACGTCCTCGTCGTCGGTTTTGGATAATGCTGAGAACGGAACCATATTGCAAGGCTCAACTTTTTCACATTTGTCAAATATTATAAAGTATCCCAAATTATTTCGGAATTATTAAATGTTGTTTAAAGCGATCATTAACCCTCCGTCTGAAAACGTATTTTCGGACCCTTTGGTCTGAAAACGGGGGTCATTCGAGTCCAGCGCGTTTTTGAGGGTGT